TCTGTTCCTGAGCCACCGAAGACGACGTCTGGAGCTGCTGACCCTGTGGCACGCCCGAGGTACGAGACGCCTTGGGGGGCGGGGAAAGATGGGACGATGCTTGCGACAATGGCTTCGATGGTGATGCCGCCCCTGAACCGTTTTCTCCTTCGACCGTCGATGCGCGATCAATGCGGAAGTCGATGACGTCGAGGATGTTTCGGTGCACCTTCTGGCGCCGGAGTTTCTTGAGCGACTTGAGCTGCGTCTCGAGGGACTGGATCTGCTTGATGGCTTGCACAGAGTCCTTTGCACCTGGCTGCAACTCCGTCTGTTTCAGGGCAAGGCTCCGGGGCTCCTGGTCGCTGCGCAGTACGGGCCGCACGACGTAAATCTTGGAGATGGGGCCCGTGTGCAGGAGGAATTTGCCCGTGACCGTGCGGAAGTAGATGGAATTTCCGGCCGTGTCCGTCAGGTCGCACGGCTCATCAAAGACCATGGTGTCGGGCTCGTTCAATCCGGTGCCGCGGTCGGGCGACACATTCGCGCCGTTCTGGGCACGGTTCTTCTTGCGCATCTCCTTCGCCTTGGTGCGCTGCCGCTCGCGCTCCTTCTCGACAAGGGCGCCCAGAGCACGCTCTTCTTCGCGCGTCTCCTCTTGCCGCTTTCGTTCTTTCTCTTCTTTCTCGTCCTTGGCCGCCTGCGCCTGCGACGCTTCGTGTGCTGCGCGCTCTTCCTCCAGCGACGGTAGGTCCAGGCCCTGCTCCTTGGCAATGGCGGCGTCCTCGATAACCTCGCGGATGCCCTCGACCAGATAGTCGATCATCTCCCTGTCCTCGGCGGCGCACTCCTTGGCCCGCGCCTCCATGACCTTTTGCACCTTGAAGAGCGTCGACTCACGCAGGCCGTCATGGTCTTTGATGGTCAGGAGCGGCACAGATTTGGGGTACGATGCCGTCAGCACCACGCCCAGTGTCACGGCAAAGTCCTCGTCCAGACTGGCCTTGATACGGATGTCAAAGGACGGCTCGGACTTCTTCCATGCACTATGCGCCGCCTTGTGCTGCACGAAATCGTCGCCATAAATGGCCTCCAGGACGGTCACCTCGTCTTGCTGGCGCTCCTCGTACTGGGTCTTCGCATCGCCCGGCTGGTTCTGGGGTGGGCCGCCGTCTCTAGGGCCCTTGTTCGCTGCATTGTGCTGCTTCGGCCCCGGGAAGCTGGTCGAGTCGTCTTTCTTGTTGTTTGGTTTCAAGGGCTTTTTGCCGGCCATCGTGATGTGGTCTTTGGTCTCGAGCGTAGTCTCACAGCCTGCGAAGGCTGCAGAGAATTACTCGGAGAGGCCCATATTGGCAATTGGCTGCAGGATTTCTAGGTGTATGGTAAGTAAGGAGTGGCTGTATGTGGTAATAAAAGGGGCCAGATCGTGACTTGACGTCTCGTGCCTTGTTTTTGGCGATGTTCAGACAAAGATGAGTCAAGAACGAATGGCTGCCACAGCAAAGCGTTATCGGGTTGCAGCGATGGGCGCGATTGCGGGGCAAGGCCAAGCTACGCAGCGGCGGGGAGTCAAGTACGAAGGGCGTCCTGAAGCAGCCAGCCAAGCTAACGTACTGACAAGGCTGAGCTGGACACTAGGCCATTTAGGCCATTGTTCAGCGGTCCATGGCCCATAAATTGATGCACTTAGCTGCAGGCCACAGGCGCGCCACTGGTGGGCAAACATTGCTACGCGCTAGTCCGATTAAGGACACTAAGTAAACAAGGGTCGCTTTGCTTTGCTTTGGTTTACCGCTGTGAAGCGGAACGTCTTCTTAGCTCTTTTTCATTTCATCAGCAATTACGGCTACCACTATCCCATATCGGCACGCATCGCATCCGAACCGGCGACGGCAGACGACCGTGTTCGCTTGCAATAGCAATTATTTATGAAGACTCGCGAGGCTTGATCATCCTTCACAATGCTCGGCTGGATGATAAAACGCGGTCTGGACGGCGGACGCGACGCGCCCGAAGACGAAGGTATGGACGACGACGCATGAAGACGACACCTCCTGATCATGCCAGGCCGTGATTGTGATTCTAACGTAGTATTTCCTTTTCTAGACGACACGAGGATCGAGCAGCCAGACACACCAGGTCCTGTTTTTGCTGCGCGGGCCTTCAAGAGCGCTCTCTTTGGCACACCGGCGCGTCGAGACGAGACCGAAGTCGACGTCCAGCCGGCTCCCGCACCAGTACCGACGACACAGGAGTCTCTTCCAAAAGCAAGCGCGGCGACGGGGGCGATACAAACAAAGAAAAACACGAGCACGAAAGACACAGGGGTCACGCCGGGTCGGTTACCCGGAATACTCTTAACGCCCGGTACGGCGACATCACGCAGAAAGCGCGTGTCCTTTGGCCACGAGGTGTCTGGCGAAGGTGTCGACAAGAAGAACGAGCTGCGAATAGACAAAAACGGCCGCAAACCAAACCTGTTCGGCGACAGCACGCGCGGCAAGACGCCTAGAACAACACTGGGGACGTCACTCCAGAACGACCGCAAGCAGAACAACAAACCCGCTGCCCCGAGCAAGCTGGCGGCGGTTGACAATGTGGCAAGCACAAACGACAGAGCTGTCGTAGACGAGATTGAGGACGACAATCTCTGGGAGGAGGTCGACGATGACGACCGGGACCCGGACATCACAGTCGATCTCAACGAGCCGCATTCCCAATCGGGACGATACTGGAAGTCCGAGTTCCAGCGCTACCAGGAAGACGCCAAGGTCGAAATGGGCAAGCTGCTCAAGTACAAACAGTTGGCCAAGTCATACGCCAAGATGAAGGACGCCGAGGCCGCTGATATGCGGACCAAGCTCCAGGAGGAGAAGGAGAAGGTCACCGAGATGGAGGGCCGCATCACGGAGCTGGCTGACCAAATCGCGCGCAAGCGGATGCACGGTTCAGACCACGAATACCAAGAGCTGATCAGCGATCTGACGCGGCAGACGGCACGCGCCGTCCAATACCGCAACCAGGTTAAGGAGCTGGAGGCGATGCTTCAAGACAACGAGAAACCGGCGGTGGCCACCACGACTGTTGCATCACCTCGCACGCAGCGGACACTCATTGACACGCAGCGGGAGCTGCGCCGTGCCCGTGAGCAGGCGAAGGAGCTGACGCAGGCCAAGGAAGAGATCCGGCGACTCAGGAGTAAACTAGGTATTGCTGAGCAGCGTGCAAGTCGCAAGAATGAGAACAAGAACGAGAGCAAGACACTGGCAAACGACCTTGCAGCGTCTGAAGCTGCGGCTGAGGCGCTGGCAGCCAAGGTGGAAGATCTAGAGAAGCGGGCCCAGTTTGCCGAAGACGAGAAGCGGCAAAAGGTCAAGGAGCTTAGTTTGCTACAGCGCAAGTACGACTCGCTCAAGGACGACGCCAAGGCCCGCGTGGGCGAAGCCGAGCAGGTCATGCGCCGCAAGAACGAAGAGATTGCCGACCTAAAGAAGCAGGTTCGAAAGGCCACAGCAGCCGCCGTACGCCAACATGCCCTGGAGCCACCAGTACAGATCGATGCTCTCAAAGACAGCAAGGATACCAAGGATACCAAGGATACCAAGGATACCAAGGATACCAACAACATCGAGGACACCAAGGCCGGCAAGAACATCAAGACGATGGACTCCCCTGTTTCCGACAGTGCTGCTGCCAAGCTTGCCCTGTTGCGCCGCCGCCGCGGTGCGGAGCCACTTCGCCCCGTTGTCGACGCACCACGGCCAAAGGCCATACTCGAGAGCATTGGCACGAACCACGTTCGCGGCGCTGAAAAGGAGATGCCAAAGGCGGGGCCGTTGCCTGAACGGTCTGCAAAGGGCGCCCCAGCAAAACCCTACAGAGCGACGATTACGACATCGGCGCCGGCACCGCCACCGGCAGCCGAGCGAGACGACCCCGTTGCCGCGGCCGCCGCTGCTGCAGCCGATGCTTCGTGTTTGTCCATCTCGTCGGAACGGGCAGCTGCTGCAGTTGCACGGATAGAGAAGCGGCGGGCCCAGCGGAAGCTAGAACTGGAAGCATTGCGCAACAAGGAGAACATGCAACCGGCATGATGGATTATACCGGCGGGCTATGTGCTGTTTTGTGGATTGGAAAACGGAGGGCTATTTTAAGCCCTTAGTCCCTTTATTTATTTTTGGGGACGGTGGAGCGTCGGAGGGTGCTCGTCCTTGATAACCAACGTATTTCTTTGCTGAAACGTTGTGGATTTTTGGTGTTTTTTTGTTTTCGTTTAATTGTTTTTTCTTTCTTGGCTTTTTATTTGGTATTTTTTCTCTATGCATTTGTTACATATCCCTCCTACCGAGCAAATTGAAGGAGCTTTTATCACACAAATTGTCCGTGATTTCAGTAAAGGCATAGTTCATGCTTACCTTGACTTTTAGTTTTACCTAAGGGGGTGATGACGTCGCTTCCGTTGCTTCTCAGCCGTTCGTTTCAGCTCCCAACAATGCAACACGGGAGACCCATAGCCACTCGGTCGTTACAAACAAGGCTGGTAATAGGATTTCTGCAAGGCTGCGCGGCTTTGCTTCCTGTATTCTGTACTGGTTTTGCGTCCTTACAAGGTTCCCAAAATAGAACACTGGAAGGATTTTTGTTCTTTTTCAAAAAAGTTGTATGTAATATAAATCCTATATACATGGGGTAATCTACTATATAATGATAGGTCAAAAACACAACCGATTATATCTCGAGCTTGCGGTTCCTGCCTGTCCAATACCCATCTATGCGTTATATGCAACCTGAGACCAAAAAAGGGCAATGCCAAAACGCCTTTTCGCCGCCAAAGAAGTCGTCCCCAAGACTTGATGAAGACCACCCAAGATTAGAAAATTAGAAAATCAAAGAATGGTAAACGCCCCATGCAAGTTGTGTAAAAGACGTAACCTCGAGAAAAACAGTAAAAGGTTATAAAAAACCGAGTTGGACACGTAAACGTAGACAAAAAAGAATAGGGAAAAGGGGAAAAAGTGAGCTTATGAAAAGATTTCAGCGAGGCTCTCAAACTTGATCGGGTGTACAAGCACACTGCGCATGCACATGCGGCCGGAGCCCGCAGCCTCATCACCCGCTCCACCTCCTAGCCCGACCCAGGTATCGTCTTGGCCGTCAACAGGCTTGGGCTTCGGTGCAGCCGGGTCATCAATGGGCTGCAGGTAGCCAAGCCAGCGACGCCACAAACGACCTGCAAAGTCCGAGTTGTAATACCAGGTCAAACCGCGGTGGTAATGCTCGTTGCCGGGGTGGAAAGGCGACGCGTCACTCGCACCGGAGGAGTGATCGGGTCCGGCATTGAAAGCCTTTTCTGCCGCGGCCAATGGCCAGTGGCGGTCGGCGTAGACTGGGTGCGGTGCGTAGACAGCCTTGAAGCCACGGTGCAGGGCAACGCTGGGCGGGAACATTTCCGCAAACATGCCGTGGTGAAGGCGCCAAGTTTCTTCGTGCATGGCGAAAAGAAGGCGTCGAGAGAGGCGCGAAGCAGTAATGATTGCAGTACGCCGGGGTGGAATCGCAAAGGCCAGATCGTAGCCGGTGACGTCGTTCGAGAATACCCAGCCTGACTCTTCGGCGTCGAACATCGGATTCAGTGTGATTAGGTCAGCAGCTTCGCCTACACCGCACGACCCCGGAATGTTGGTGTAGTTGTTGTTGCGGTCAGCAAAGAAGTGGCGTCCGGGAAGCGACGCCGTTCGGTTGTCTGCGGGTGCGGTGCGGTTGTACGTGCTCAGGACTGCGCCCTCGCAGCCAGCAGGGAGTGGAGAGACACCATGCTCTTCGTCGCGCGTTTGCGTACGGCCGGCAAAGTAGAGCTCGCCGAGAATCGAAGGGCGGCCGGCTTCATGTGCTTCGGCATCAACACGTGCGGTGAAATTCTCCCACGAGCCATGGAGCGCAGGAATGTAGTACTTTGCAGAGCGCTCCCAAAGGCGGCGACGGGGTTGCTTTTCAGCCCAAGAGCCGAGGCGGTCGAAAAATTCGTAGTAGCTGCCCAGGAAACGCATATCCATTTCCCAGTTCCAGTAGTGAGCGTACTCGGGGTGCTGCTGGGCGAAGTGTTGCAGAGGCAGGTGAGGCGAACGGTAGACACCGTGGATATCGGCGTTGGCAGGGTTGTCGAAGGTCGGCTGGCCGCGCATGCCAGGGTACAACAAGCGCATCTGGCCCTCCGACCATAGCGAGACGAGGCCGCGGAACTCGCGTGGGATATTGTCAGCAATGAACTCCTCTGCCACCTCAGCATCGGCCCAGACAGGAATGTTCTCGTCGCGGGCGTGCAGTAGAATGTGCACGTCGTACTCGCCGCCGGACCGCAGAGACAGCTCGGAAACCAGCGCGCGCAAGTTCAGGATGGAGTGGACGGACCACTTGAAGCCAGCGTAGCAACGCATAACAACGGCCGTGCGTTCGATCTTTTTCAAGCCCAAGGTGTTGCTCGATGTCGTTTCGGATGAAGCATTTCTCTCCCCAACGTTGTTGGTCATGTCCAGATTACCAGACGGCGAGTACTCGGTCGAGCGAGCACCCTCAATACCGGAAGGAACAAAACGCTCTTCGTTTGCCGCAAAGCAGCGACGCTGTGCTGAGGCCCAGTCGACGGTGCTATAGTCAATCTTGCCCGAAGTTGACGCGGACCAGATCTGGTTGGCACCCTCGCTTTCCGTATCCAGGGCAAGGCCGGTGCCGCCCTCTTCCTTTTTGTAGCCCAGTCCGTAGGGGCCATAACGACCAAAGCGATCGAAGCAGACATCTTCCCGAAGACCCAGCAGACTGTGGGAACCGAGGAGAGGCTCGGGTTGGCCCTGAGGCACGCCCGGGTACGCCCACAGATCGGGAACAGGGACTTGGTTGGCGGCATCCAGATAACAACGTTGGACGGGGTAATACTGAGCACGGTACTCGGACGAATTGTAGTCCGGATGGGCGTTGAAGATGGTCGGCTTGGGTGTCGCGTTCTTGGTTGCGGAAGTAGTCGTGGAACTTCTCGCAGGTGTCGTTTTGGCGCCGGATTTGTCGTCGGTGCGCTCAGTCCGGGGCACAACAACAGCATCTGCAGCAGCGACGGAAGCATCCACTGCGTCGGAATATTCCTGGAGTCTCCCGATTCGTGTGTCTTCCGCCGTCGGGTACTCGGCATGGTATTGCTTTATTGGCACAATGGTCCGGATGCCGTTGTAGTAGCCGTCCAGTCTGGTACGTATGTTAGTCAGGATTTATTTGAAGCGAAGTCCATAAGGAAGTCCAAAAGGACTAAGAGCAGGACATACCGAGTGTAGTTGACCCAGATCGACTCGGGGCTCGGCCCCTTCTTTTCTTGTGAAGGCTGCTCCTTGCGGAAATGCAGTCCATGGTGGGTATGGCTGTGCACCAATAAAATAACCAGCAGAGCGCAGAGTAGACCGCCAATCCACAGCAAGACGCGCCGGTAGAGGCAGTGGCCGAAAATTGCGCGCAGTCTAGGTGATGACGTCGGCGACCGGAGAGGTGACGAGAGGCCGGAGAGGGGAGCATACGAAGGGAGCTCGATCCGGCCGGTTGGCAGCCATTTTAAAGACGATTTGGCGATATCGAAGGCGGACGATGCCCTGCTCAGGACGGGCATTGGCAGCAAAGATGCGGGCGCAGATGACAAGCCGTTGATGTTAGCAAAGCTGGCGATGCTGGACAGGCCAGTTGCACCGGCTGTTGGTTTTTCGAGGATGGAGAAGCTGCTGCGCCGGCTGGGCGAGGTACTGGAGGGCGATGAGCTCATGCTGGCCGAACTGCTGGCAGCGCCGGTGTCAAAGGTGGAAGCCCGTTCCATCCTGATGGAATGGTGGGCTAGGAGGTCGTCCAAGTCGAGGAGAGCGTATTATCGTGATAGCGTGAACATGAGATGCGAACTGCGTAACCAAGAGAGGCGTCAAAAGGCCGGGTATGCAAAGTGGTCCCAGAGAACGTGCCGTGACGTATTTGAGACCCGAAGGAAGAAAATGAAGGGAAACGAAAACAACAACAAAAACAAACGATGAAATATGAAGAAAGAAGGGGTATGAATATTTCGAGACTAGGAAGGAAAGAACAATGACGACAGACTGTTGCTGTGCAAAAAGAGAATGAGATACCGCGAAGAAGGAGTTAACGAGCGTGTGCGGGTGTTGTAGAATGAAAAAAAGAAAGTAGGTTGAAGTTATTGCAGCACGGGAACTTGCGAGCAGAGCCAGTATTGAAAGTGAGGTAAGGAAAGGGGTGTCTGACGAAGATGGGGTCGTCTTGATTAGTCTTTCCTTCTTCCAACAGTGGCAAGTACTATGGCCTTTTTCGGAAGGCCCTTTTTCCTTTTTCCTTTTCTTCTGTTCTGAGTCTTCTTATTCCTTTTCAGTTGAAAGATTGCGCTGCGTTTTTGGTGCGACAAGAGAGGGGGGCCGTTTCCTCTGCGTGAGCGATAGACAAGGGACCGGGGGGGGGGGGGGGTAGGTTAAATGATGGGTGTGCGTGTAAAGTGCGTGGCTGTATGTTGTGTGTACCGATGTGCAAAGTCAACAGAGGACAAATCGAGAGTTGGGAGGAAGAGAGAGACGGTGAACGAGAGAACGAGAGAACGAGAGATTGACGAGAAAAGGACGAACGAGGCAGATGATCGTGAAAGAGAAATAAGGAAGGAACGAAGAACAAAAGACGCAATCGAGACAAAAAAGCACCGACGAAAGACGAGGCCAAACCCAACAAGCAGGGAAGGAGCCAATGGCAGGACGAAGGAGAGACGATGAGACATAAAAAAGTGAATCGTAATGGTGGGAACGCAGGAGGAACTCGAAAAAGAAAATGTCCTCTAGAAAATGAAAGAGAGGCGATAGCGTGGCGAACGAGTGTAAAAGCCTTCAAAGTATTGACAACATGCAGACTACTGTCACGGCGCGGCTCGGTTGCAAAAAGGAGACGTTCTACCGACGACGTGAACAGGATAGGAGACGGAGGGGCTAGTCGCTCGACACCATACCCAGTTTTAGTTTAGTGGGCCCATTGAGACCAGTGTGCTTTTTCCTATGTGTACGAAGTAATTCTGCTTTGTTATGAGACGCTAGTGAGTGCGACAACAGCAAAGGAGGGAGTAAACCGTTGTCTTGAGTTTTCAGCGCCGCCTGTTTTGCTATGATGGGCGGACCTTCCTTGTTTTGTCCCTGCGCGAAGTATTTAGTTGTGGCAATCGCGCCGGTCGGGCCTGCCAAGTTCGCATTCCTTGTTTGCGTACCGCAAAGGAAGACAAAGGAGCGCCAGGAACGGCGCCAGGCAAGGCACATGCTGTGTTTGCGTGGACGGCAACTGGCTCTCTCGCCATGTGCCTGTGAAAGTGTCTACAACTGGCACATTTCCTGCTGCGCGGACAAGGCCCACTAACCGTCCGCTTTCTGCAGCACGCACCGGCATGCAAAGATCAAAAAAGACATGGATCAAAATGAGGGGCCTTGGGGCCTGTGGCTTGATCCAATATTGGAAGAGCAACGAAAATAAGTTAGAGTCGTGATGAAAAGGGAAAGAAGCATCTTCTGCACGAGCTAGGGGCCAGGAGGTGGTTAATTGTACTGGCTGGGGATGGCCTGGACTGTCCTCCACTTTGTATGCCACAGAGAGTGTTGGACAAAACAAGAGATGCGCGCCAAGAACCAACTGCAGCCATGTGCATGCTGCCTCGAACTACTGTCGCATCAAAGACCAATTGCGCAATCTCACAGAACCAAACATTGGATTTCTGCTGCTTGTATTGGATCAACCAAGACGAAGCACGAAAACAGTAGCGAAGCTAGATACGTTCGAGAACGGAAGGGCAAGGCCAGTCATGCAGTGTGACTTTCTTGTGTTTACAGGGTGTATGTATATTAATTTAGTGTCTTGTCCGACGTCCAATTGAGCCTGAGTGATGCCAACAGCATGGGTTGTGCATTTGATATTAACTGCACATTCCTCCGAGGGTTTCCTCTTCTTGCCTTCCGGTTTTCTCTGCCGCCGTTTGTTTCGCTGCCTTGCGCGTCCCGTCCCTTCCTTCCCAGTTTGTTGTTTTGTTCCAGTACCTTTCCCTTTCCCTTTCCCCGCCATACGAACGACTTGCGCTTCTTCTCACGCAGGTCCGTGCCGCACGCCCGTTTGTGCACGACGGGAGGAAGGAATCCGGGCAGGTCATGCGTCGTACAGGGACGGCTGACTGACAAAAATAACACAAACGTCATAAGAGGCAGCTGGGGTTGTCTGCAGTGACGTCGGTCGTCTACGGAGTACTCCCGTACGTTGTTTTTGTTTCGGATCTGGTTTGGAGTATGTATTCCTCCGTCCTCGTCTCCCCGACTACATTGTGGACGACCTGCGGGCTGCGACAAGATCGGCATCGAAAGGTTCTCGGTTTCTTGTTTGTTCCCTGCTCGTTCTGCTTCCTTCGTCGTTCGTTCTTGCCGCAATCGGTGTACTTGTAGGTTGCCCCCACATTTTGCATCGATCCTTCCTTCCCAGGTTGATCACCTCAACAGGGCATCTTTGCTTGATGGCCAGCGAGCCAGCCTCCAGCGTCGTATTTGTAGATGTGTTCGCGCAACCTGGTCCTCTCAGATAGTGGTTGCCCATGTCCGTTGCCGAATAGCAATACCGAGTCGAGCGCTCTTCGCATTGGCTGACAGAGTTCGTAGACTATCACCGGGCTCGTCATTTTAGACAAACCGCCATGTTGGAGGTGGAGATATACTGAAGTGGGACAAACGGCGGGTAAAAAGGGGAAAGACCCAACCGAAAAGGGAGTTAAAATCCTGTGTATTTCGTATGCTGCCACTTGAGAAAAAGAAGAAAAAGGGGTTGCAATTGAGGCGCAGCACGGGTCGCCACTCGCTAGAAGCAGAAGGCGCGAATGGAAGCAAATGGGGTGGACCGCTGAAATTTGACCATGTGTGCAGGGGACGGACACACAAGGGATGCTACAGGGGAAAAAGCGATAGTCTTTACTACCTCATCATACAAAAGATGACAAGGTGACCATCCCCGCTAAAATGAGAGTTTGGCGGTCAAATCTAACGAAATGGAGCTCGTCGCTCACCATTTCTTTTCCAACTCTACAGGAGTGACAGCCCCGCAAAAGGAGGCAAGAGGTGAGGAAAACCTGTGGCAGAGAGCAGGCGGCGGTTGAGCACATGAGAGCGCAGGTTTTATCACGTGGAAAACGAGGAAACCAGAAAAGTAAGCATTTTGCGATTCAACGCACAATCAAATCACTGACGACGTACGAATATTCGTTCACAACGGATAACCATAGCCGTAATGCCCTACGACCAACTATCTACGACGCGTATACGTCGGACATTGTACGATATGTCCTGTCCTCAATCTCGATGGCATTTCTGCAATCGTGAATCCCTCAAAAAAGTCTGTGCAACTCGACCTCCCTGAAGACAAAAAGGTCGAAACAATTGTCAGCGAACCAATCCTGTGAGCTACTGTGGAGCACCAGGTCGTGGCTCGACGTGAGAACTTAAATGGCCAGCCAAGAAGGGCTCCTCAGTAGTGAGTGAGAGGGTGAGAGGGTCTGGGCCTTTGACAGCCAAGGCCAAGAGACGGATTGCTTGGCAGCGCCATGATGCTGGGATCGTATTCAACGTCCACTGGCGAGCTTGGCATCACGTTGTGTATTTGTGTCGTTTGCCGTCTGTAGTTTTCGAGCACTGAATGTTTACGAAGTACTTTGGATTGACTTTTATGAGATGACCGCTCTGTCTCTTCCATGCCTTCCATGTGTGCCGATATTGAAAAATCTGATATGGGACACCCAGTACGATACTCTCTAATGCAAGCGCCATTCAATTCAACATGCATTGGTCGAGTTGAACTTTCCTGTAGGTGTCTGTTGTGCCCGTCCTTGTCTTTTGCTCACGATGTTGTCTAGATGTGTGCTATGTTGATTTCGCCATGGCGAAAAGGGCAACCGAGGGCGGAGGCACGTCGATGTAGCCATTACAAGGGGACTTTTAAGTAGTCCCAACCTTTGTCTAACACCAGAAACGGAACCATGGAGATTTCTAGTTTGTCGGTGATGGCAGAGATAGCTCTCTTACAGACGCGACTACGAATACCTTTCTTGGTCGCTCCTGCCGTGCTGAATAGCACAATGCATCGGCTGCTCCTGGCGCTCATGTTGTGTTGAGCAGGCGGTCGCAACTGCCACTATTGATGGCCAGACTGTTGTACTCTTATTCGCAGTCGCGCCTTCTTTATAAGTTGAGTTGATCCGTGTCATAGTTTCTGATGTTTCAGGGGCACAGAAAAGAAGAAACAAGGCAAAAAAAGGAGCCAATGTTGCTATCATAACTTTGTCACTTTCGTCACCATCCCCATCATGGATGTTCAGTTGGCGCTGTCCGCTCCTGCAGCCGCTGCTGGGCCCGCTCATGCTCGGCCTTGCGGCGCCCGTCGCGCCATCGGTCCACGCGGTCGCGCCACTGCTGGCCCCAGACGACGGCGGTCCACAAGGCGACGGCACTGGCCACCAGGAAAAGCGCACTGATGGTGCTGAACCAGCCGACGCCGATGCGCTCCGTGGCCGGCAGGACGACGGCGGTGCCGGCACAGGCAAAGAGGTAGCGCACAAAGTAGTTGGCGGCAATGACCTCGCTGCCGCGGCTCTGCATGACGTCGAGGCAGTAGGTGTTGATGCTGGGGAAGCAAAAGAGCTGGGCGACGCCCTGCAAGAACAGCATGATCACCGCGAGGGGAATGCCGCCGACGCCGCGCTCGACACCCCAGCCATACACCAGGATACACGCGGGGATGACGCCGCCCAGAAAGGGGAGG